GCATTGAAGCAACTGCCATGTGATTGGTTGATTAGATAATTGCATTAATGAGAAATGGAACAGGTGTTCCTAATAATCCTTTAGGTGAGTGTATATATATATGGTATATTAGGGCTGTCAATGTTGCATAAATATTACGTTAAAGCAAATAATGCAAATTAATTCTTAAATTGATTGCATCATGAACATATTTTACATCACACAGTTAGATGATTAATTATTGGGGATCAAGAGTTTATCACACTGAGCATCTACAACACAAGGCCTTTCTATTTTGACCCTTTAACACGAATTTCACTTCTCTGTTTGCAATCAGATCATTTTAAGCCGCTGGACACCGGGAAACTTTTCAGTCCAATGATCCAGTAAGCAAATTAATTCAAACAATCAGTCCAAAACAGTGCTAATGTACAGAAAACATCCCATCGCTGTATGCCCAGATTATAAGCAAACTATGTTGCTCGGCTGGAAAAAGCAAACCAGCGTCTCACTAGTTACATTTTGATGGATGAGGATTGCAATGAAGTTTAAGATGATTGCTGTGACGTACATAAATTGTATTGTAAGCAGAAGAACCTGAATTCGCTCTGTGCACGAGAAAAATGCTAACTTCCGGCTTGAGGGTGGAAATTGGGTACTTCGTTTCCGGTTGCCGTCTTGTTTACATCACTGGACCGGCGTTAAGTTAGTTTAATCGTTCGCAATGGACCTAAAACATAAAAAAAACCGATTCACTTTTCAAAGGGCAGTCGGTGGTAATACCATAATTCCTCAAATAAAAGCTGGGGCCTTTATTTACCTAAACTGCAGAAGGTAACAGGCTTTTATTAGAGGCAGGCGCTTTATTTAAAAAAAAATCTAAATCAAATTTCCGTCTGGGTTCCATGCTCCTCAAGACAATTTCGTTTTCATTAAAGTTGTTGAAAAGACCGTTACACTAGCAGCACTAAATTATATGTGTGTTACATCTATAGTCTACTACCATCTATTGGCTGTACGTTACGATGAACTTGAATGCATATTAGGGGATGTTTACACCTGGCCACTTCATGTGTTTTCTCAGATCGGAAAGCTCTCTGATTTATCAAAACAATTCTACTTAAATCTGCTCACAAATGCGTTTTCGCAAAACGGATATAAATCTTCAATTCCCACGCTATATGCGGATTTAATGGAGTGGACGTCACCGAAAGCAACAGATATGAGCTGCATTTGATAGATCAGCTCATTTCTAAATCAAAAGACCGCAATAAGCGAGAGCGGCAACAAGCCTGGTAAGATCATTTCGTTTCTTTACTTTTAATGATGAGGAGAATTGTCTGCGACTTACTTTCACTTTAATTTGCAATAGTTTGCACGTTGGCTTTATGGATAGATGCTCGGCTGCCGTGATGCGTGTTGCAGTAGCGTTGTCACATCTTGCTATAACATTACATAGCCTATAACACGCTCTCACACTTATTTTTTAGCGTTTTTGGGAGGAGTAAAATTTAGATACGTGGTTTCAACAATCAGATGCATTTGATTTACACTTGTGCAGTTTCGTCTGGAATCTCGTCTCAGATCTCCTCCTGAAGAAGTGGTTTGAGCGATCGGATTTAAATTGTCTCGAATGTGCTTCGGATGGCATTTATACATGGTCTTTTCACGATCAGATCACAGAACACGCATGAAGTGGACAGGTGTAACATCTCTTCAATGAAAGTCATTTAGGAGATTATCCACACTAATTTTCCCCCGGCCTTTATTTGTCCGCGTTGATCACGTACCCGGCCATTATCAGAGGCCGGGCGTTTATTTGAATACCGGTTTTTATTTGAGGAATTACGGTAACCAGGCGCTGCTGCATTGTGAAAAGTAAACAATGTTTAACGTTACTTCTACGTCGTCCATCAGGCTACCGGAAACTAGACACCCCCTATCGGTTTCGCAGCCGGAAGTAGCATATGCTAACGTGCACATAGTCTATTCACAAAGTACAACATGTTCCTGGATCAACATCTTTGTTGATCCTGAACAACATTCCAATCATCTAATCAGGTTTGAGGAACAAGTTTACAGTTTCTGTCAAGTTTAGGTTTAAAATCAGGTCTGGGTACTTCACCAGTGTTAGTCACCAATCATTTCCCAACGTTATGGGTTATGTTTAGGGGTAGGGATAGGACTAAATATTTGGATAGGAATGTTGTTTCTGGATCATCAAAATACAGTATGTTGACCCAGGAACACGTCTAACTCGGCAAAATCAGGACGTACCAGTAAGTCTTGATGCGCAAACAAACAAACCGTGTGTGTGTGCTCTCGATGCACTGATCGCCAGTGTTGGGGGAAACGCATTACATGTAACTCGAGTTACGTAATCTGATTACTTTTTTCAAGTAACGTTAAGTAACGCATTTTAAATTTACAACAAAATATCGGTTACTTTTTCAAATAAGCACTGAAGTTACTTTGTTTTCCCATGTATTGACTGACAGCTGTCCTGTCCTCATGTTGAGAGAAATCGTGAGTAAGCGCAGAGGCGTTGTGTGTGTACATGATGGTTATTGTAGTTCCAGACTAAATGGGAGCGTGCTACTCATCTCACTTGCACAAAAAAAAAAGATTCAGCATTCCTCAAAATGAATAAAAATCAGTGAAATGCAAAATCAAAATACTATGCAAACCTTGTTTAAATAAAACAAATATTTTTATGCATGTAATCTTATTTTATTGACCAATGTATTTGCTGCTGACCTTCGATGATTCTTTTAAACCATAAGCAAAAATGACTTTAGATTTTTTTTTTTATTGGTGAAGTGTTAAACTTTCTTCTCCTACGTCCTATTCTTCTGTGATCCAGCATGATAGAGCTGAAAGGTTTGTTTTTACTGCGCCCTCTATGTACAGGAGTGTATTTGCATTTCCTTCAGCCTTTTTATTTCAATTTTGGTGTGAAAGGGCCTTCACATTTGCCCAAAAACAGAACTTGAAATTAAAAAAGAAAACGAAAACAATCCCAGCCCAGGTGAGAAAAAGTAACGTAACATTACTTTCCTTAAAAAGTAGCAATTAGTTAATTTTTCAGGGAGTAACACAATATTGTAATGCATTACTTTTCAAAGTAACTTTCCCCAGCACTGCTGATCACACAGACACATTTATTCATGTTGTTTCCACACACATTCAGGATAATGTTTTTATCTGTCATGTATATGTTGCTGTGTTTAGTAATTCTGAATGGATCCGTATAGCTATATGCAGTCAGGCCAAGTTTCCTACGTTACTACATGTAACATTACATTACTACACGTACTTAGTAACAACAGTAAGTTAATTAATATTACTCAGTACTTATTTGAGTAAAATGTAACTACATCACCTTAAAATGGTGTAACCTTTTTTTCATGGGTGCTTTGGAATGCATACATTCATGAATTATATGGACTCTTATATCATTTGGTTATTGTCCTTTTGGAGTCTTTTTTGGAAAGACACCTAAATTTACCTTGAATAACGCTTTCAGAAATTACATATTTGTGAGAATCACCCTTGAATCTGATGGTTTACTTTGCTGGGTATAGCAAATGATGACAAAATGAACATGAGCTTGGCACCTTTAGACAATCATCAACTCATGTATTATCACTGTGAACGGTTTATGACCATGGAAAGTAAAATGACTCTGACCTTTGCAATGTTTGCTCTCTGTACAGTCTTTAAATGTTTAAACCTGCAAAACAGGTGACGAGTTTCGTGCGAAAGCAGTCGACGTGCTCAATTTACAATACCAGAACTTACAGTTGAACATCAATATACTGTATTACTGATAATGACTCAACAAAGGTTAAAGTGACAAGATAGATATTTAGACAACTTTACTGAACCAATGACATCAATACACCATAGTCAAATGTCTGACATAAGATGGACAGTACATTATAGATAATATAACGGTGACATGTTTGAGGGACAAACATCTGCAAAACTGATTAGCTTACATTGAGGAAGATTTTGACTATTAAGTCAAAAGATTTTCTTCTCCAAAACAAACCCAAATTGACCGAATTGCTGCAGTGACCTCCATAACAAAGAGCTTTTGTCTCTGAACACACTTCAGCACTTCCTCATAACTGCATGTGAAATCCCCATGAAGCCTTTCACACAAACTCCAAGGAACATGAGACTTTTGTCTGGTATGCAAATATATAATTCACGACTGGAAATTTCCAGCATTATGTTTAAGAGGTGCTTTTACAGAAACGCCTCACAGGTCTGTAATTGTTTGTATTGAGCAGCACATTAAAAGTAAAGTCAAATCCTTCAAAGCTATTGTTAAATGTTTTGCTTTGAAGACTGAAAGCTGAAATGCATGACACAAGAGCTTTAAAGCAAATATTTAGTAAATATTCAGTCGCATCCAATGACCATTTCGCAATACATGAGATGCACGTTCATATGATGTAAAACACATTACGACAAGGTGTTTTTTGAATCCATTTCATATTCAAGTGTTTACATGCTTAATTTTTTCCTGTTAATCGGATCATTTTAGATCAACACCATTTTATTCTGATCCATTTACATGAAGATTTTTCAGTCTGATTGAGCCATCAACCCGATTGTAAACGGACATGTAAACGTAGCTATTGAAAATCCTGTTTATCTCTTAAACAGGTTTTGAACAGAATTTAATGCTGACTTTCACGTTTGTATGGTGACAGTCACCATGTATTTTAGGTTTGCCCACAATTTTGACTCATGCATTATGCATTATGAATCATGCATCATGCATTCATTTAATAAGTTAAAACATGGACATGTGGAAAAATGAAACGGGATAACACTTGTGAATACGGCAATGCTACAAATAAGCTTAGTTTCAGTCAAAGTGCACAACCAGTTTGAAAACACTCATTGCTTTTGCAACGAGCTGGAGAGAACCAACAGAAGATGTTCTGTCACCTGTAGATGACCATCAAACATCTCTTACTCAGATGAGCACTGGAAAGAGTGCTCGGTTAATTGCAAGACAAAGACAATCCCGTCCACTTGTCCAAAATAACCACGCCAACTCTAGGTTCCTCTCCATCCCTGAAGTCCTCCTCGGGCTCAGTTACGTCCTGCGGGTGGTCTGTCCTCAGAATATAAGTCCTCTGGTCTTGTTTTCCCTCCAGAGGAATCCCCGGCAGCCAGTTCTGCCTGTAGTTTGACGTCACCATGTCAGAAACATGTACAGGCAGATAGTCTGAGTTACGCCTATGAACTAGGTCAGTTAGTAAAGGCGCTTGTTCTCCAGTTTCCTGATCCGCATCTGGAGAACTTAGATCAGCGTCAAACTGAAATAAGCAGCCATGAAACTGCAGCGCACCATTTTCAGCGGGCCTAACTGGTACCACCAGGGTCTCGCTACTGCGTTCAGTGTCTGAAATGCTCAAAACGGGCTCCGCACCAATCGAATCCGAGCTGGTCTCATCTGCTCTGCCATCGGATGATGGTCCGTTGAAGCTCTGGAAGGGCAAACAGAGGCTGTAATGCACTGAAGACTCTCTGCTGTCGGGGACCGGGATGTCCTGTTGACATCTGTAGGGCTCCTGGGATGCATAAGCAGGCACATTAACCCCGATCTCTGACTTCTGCTGGGCAAAAATAGGCTGTGGATCACAGTTCCCAACAAATCCAGACCACACTTCCACTTTAGATATGTCGTCCCGGGGATTTGAACAAAATGGACGACTGGTGTTCTTTGACAGCATCTGTGAAAAAGCATCATAATTTAGTCTGCTGAGTGACTAGTTTCAAAAGAAGCTATTTATTTAATTGAAATTGATATGTTCTATACCGAAAGATTTTTTTTGGTCAAATTAAAATAATCGAAACACTTAATAAAAAAGAAATATGAAATATTTGATTTGTTTACCTCCATGTCATGTGACCATTAATCAACATCAGAGAACCGTAAACATGCAAATGTGTCGTTCAATTATTGATGTATTTACTCCAAAGACATTTCCAGTAAATATTGTAGGTCAAAGCGATTCGGCTGAATCCCTGACTTATGTACGATCAGATTGATTCTAGACTCCATGTATTTGAATGGTTTCATCAAACAACCAGCGGCCCACAAGGAAGTTTAAAACTCAAAGATGTTTTGTCAATGAAGCCAAATATTGACTTGATTAATCAACATGAGGTTACACAAAAACCCAAGCTGAGCTAGTTTACTGAACAAATATCAACATGCATGATTTATATTTTCATGTCACACGAATGAATAAGACTTTTTATAATATCTCAAATACCTAAACAGGGTAAATAATCCATGAAAGCACTGAAGTGCTCTAAGGGAAATCTGTGGCTGCTGATCTGGCAGCAGATGTTTGTGCTAGTCGTAATCGATATGATAAACTCATTTTGTGCTGCCGAGAGCAATGCGCAGATAAGACACAGTCCTTCAGGAGGCTTAAGAGAAACGCAACGCTCTTGTCAAACAGGACTTTTCACTGCCAGTGAGATGGTAAGTATGTTCACCAGGAAATTCCCAGTGCGAATATGACACAATGGCTTACCAGCACTTTGGGTAAGGAACGCTTTCTCTTTATAGACATCTGGCAAAGTGTAATGGGTAGAATGATCAACAGCAGCAGAACCAGCAGACCGGGCCACATTAATATATGAAACCTGGAATTTGGTGCTGAAAGACACAAAGATTGCAGATGAATATAAATAGAAATGTTTAGTCTGTATAGTGCACATATTAGGGTTTCATTTATTTTCAGCAATTTTGTGCACGTCTCATTTGATATGATTTTTTTTTGCATTATAAAATAAAACAGATCATTAAAAAATATAAATAAAATAATAAAATATCAAATTAATTAATACATACATAAAAACAAACAAATAAAATAATTAAATTGCATGTTGAGTTTAAAGGGAATTTAAAGGAGAACTCCGGCGCAAAATGAACCTTTGGTCTAATTACACATTGTTACCTAGTCAACCGTTATCTGAGATTTGTTTTCATGATTATCGAATGTAAAGAGTTTTATCTCTAAAAACAGTTTAGCCTATAAAGCTAGTATAACGCTAGTATATTGGGCATAGATCAATGACAAATAAAAATCGCTTGTTAATACCACTAACAAGGCTCAAAATAGCCCTACACTAACACGGTAGCATAATGAGGGTCCCTACCTTCAAACCGAAGCATTGAGAACTTTGTCAGTGTCCAGACAGTTTAATAAGAAGATATTTAAAACATACAGTCAACTTCGCGTATACAGGCAGAAGCCATCTTTGAAATACAGTCTCTACCAGTCGATCTACGAACGCCGATCCAAGTGCGCTGGTGAGATGTGAACGAGCTATGAGTTGTGATAAGGTGAGCGCGAACAGCAGGCTTGGATCGGCGTTCGTAGATCGACTGGTAAAGACTGTATTTCAAAGATGGCTTCTGCCTGTATACGCGAAGTTGACTGTATGTATTAAATATCTTCTTATTAAACTGTCTGGACACTGACAAAGTTCTCAATGCTTCGGTTTGAAGGTAGGGACCCTCATTATGCTACCGTGTTAGTGTGGGGCTATTTTGAGCCTTGTTAGTGGTATTAACAAGCGATTTTTATTTGTCATTACACTATGCCCAATATACTAGCGTTATACTAGCTTTATAGGCTAAACTGTTTTTAGAGATAAAACTATTTACATTCGATAATCATGAAAACAAATCTCAGATAACGGTTGACTAGGTAACAATGTGTAATTAGACCAAAGGTTCATTTTGCGCCGGAGTTCTCCTTTAAAGGGGTCCAATTATGCTGATTTATAGGCTCATCATTTTTTTGTATGTTTATATTCTTTAATGTTCCTTTAATTATATTTCTTATAATTTCCATTGTTGCAGCACCTGTTTTCACCTCCTGTCTGAACGCTCTGTTTTAGTTTCAGTTTCTTTAAAATCCACTTTCCGAAAACACAGTCTGCTCTGATTGGTCAGTAATTGGTCAGTCTGTTGTCATTGGTCTACCGCTAAGAGCTTGTGTCAGAAAAGTAACGCCATAACCGGAAAGCATCAGCTCTGGAGGCGTCCTGAGGCACTGTAAACATTACTGTAACTATGCTTATATGGCGTCAGTTTTGCCATATCAGTTTGAGCTACAATCTGATAATGACAGTCCAGAATCCGAATCATCTTCGCAAGCACAACTTCTTTTTTGCATACGGCTTGGGCGGGAGTTATTTAAATGAGTAATATTGTGACCTGTTCGTTCCGGAAGAAAACTCAAGACTACAATGGAGGCGTTTCAGGGAGTTCAGAAACACTGACACTGATATAGAGAATAACTTTATGCTTTTTTCATACTCAAACAGCAACATTACACACTAAAGAAAGTTAGATAGCATTATTGGACTCCTTTAAAGTAATGAAAGGAAATAATAAAACACTGAAAACTGAAGGTAGTTTTCTACACATCAATCAAAGCACAACTGTTCAATTACCCGAGTCATCCACACAAAAGGAGGCGCTTTCACTGTGAATGGACCTGGCGGGGTGTGTGAGTGTATAAACCACATCACCACAGTACTGCACGTCTGTTTCCATAAGCCTTATAAACACTGAGCGAGACGTGTCCTCAAATACCTTCAAAAACAAGACACATTTAAGATGTGTAGTGAAACGTCAAGGGACAATAAATGTAGACACACGCACGCACACACACACAAACACAAACATTTTATATAACTATGCATAAACATTTTGCATTTAAAGTTTTTGCTGTAAGAGAGCAGTAATAATATGAATCCCAATCAAACTGGATGCAAATGACTGAAGGAGAATCAAGAATAATCACCTTTCCATCCTCTGACTTGGGATGTGTCAGATGAACTGTGTACTTGACCCCTACCCGGGACATGACATTCTCAATAGAGCGATTCCAAGGGATCATCGGCGGGGAAACCGTCACATTCAGATGAGTTTTGTTTGACGCTACTGACAGCTGTGGTGCTGCCAATGTGGCTAAAATTAGTGAAACAGAACAGTGATGTTGATTTTGAGAAACCATCATGCAAATAATGCAATTTTAAAAAAAAAATATGATTTTGATAAACAGTTTTACTGTCGGGTTAATCAGAGTCCTGCATTAAATCCATCAGAGATCACTGATCTAAACTAGTGCTGTCAAACGATAACATTTTTTAATCGCGATTAATCACATTAATGTCATAGTTAACTCGCGATTAATCGCACATTTTTATCTATTCTAAATGTCTCTTGATTTCTTTTTGTCCCATTCTTTTTTCTCAATTTAATGCTCTTATCAACATGGAAAAGTGGATCGGCTTGCTTTGTGCAAATGTTTTTTTTATTGACTATACTGTGTTCAATTTCACACTAACATTCTCACTTGGAGCAAATAATCTCTCACACAATGTAACACTGTCCATCAATAAAAGGGTGAAAGAAATACTGACGAGGTCCTGATATTGACGAGGGGGCGGAGAATTCGCATCAGCTGTGTGTGTGTGTGTGTGTGTGTGCTTGGCCATCATCAAGTGGTGTTTCAGACTGGACGTGCTGCGATGATGATAGCTCAGTTCACAACGACAAAACACACAGATCACTTTGGTCTTGTCAACGGAACCATTTGGCAACTTTTTAAAAGTAAACTTTACATTCAGAATCTTATAGAGCTTGGCAACGTGACGTCACGCCATAGAGCGCCGCGGTGGCTGATGGGTAGTGCCGCCATATTGTGATGCCATCGCCGTTCCGCTGTTAATCTGGCAGACGCGAATCCGGACCGTTAATACATATAAAGTATACATCGATATTTAGATACATTTTAAAGTAATGGGAAGAACTTGTTGTGTTGTCGGTTGTAATGTCCGTTCACACGACCGACAAGGTAAGAAATTAGACAACGTATTATCTTTCTTTAGCTTTCCCGCCTGGAGGCAGAATCAAGGGAGCTATGTAAACTGAACGTGGGCTTCCAGAGACTTATAATTGCGAAATTGCTCAGCGGTATAGGCACTGACACCACAAACAAAATACGTAAATATATCAGGAAATGTGATGGGAGGTAAAGCGTCAGGGTCGCGGATCCACTGATCTTTTGGGACTTCATAAGGATCGACATTTCCAATAAAGTTGATTTTTTTCAACATAGCGTTTCTTGGCGTCCGGTAGGAGTTTGTCTCTGTACAATCCACCTTGTTTTAAACTATTTTTTAACATACTCAAATAAATAATTCATACAACCAACATGTGTTTCTCTATATATTGTTGCTTGGTTACCGTGGGTTACCGGCTTGTGTGGCCTCACAAAATGGCGGATACTCCCCACAATACATTGCGCGGTGACGTCGTTGGCATTCTCTATTGGCATCCATTTCGGCATCTCGCACTCGTCATCCACTCAAAACGTAACGTTAACCAACTATTTGGCCCGCTCGCAAGCCCAAACAAGTGTGTGTGGCGTGCCAGTTGTTTTGTTTCCAGTCTAGCTAGATCCGCTTGCGCTTTCAAAACGTCCTCGCGCGGCGCAAGCCATTGAAATGAACGGGTTTCATAGCGCAGCGCCGCGCATGCCGTGTCCTGTTGCAAAAGCATGTGAAAAAAAAAAACTACAAAGTTTGCTAGGCCAAAAAAGACCGTTAATCGCGCGATAAAAAAATTAACGCCGTTAAAATGGGTTTGCGTTAATAACGTGTTTAACTGACAGCCCTAATCTAAACAGATGATCACAAATATAATTCAAATGAAAGTCTAGATTAGAATATCTTACTTTGCCAGAATGGAGAGAACTTCACGTCACCCATGCACAGTCCACCGACAGTGATTCTGACATGATATTTAAGGCTCACAGAGGACGACACATCACTCATCACATCAGTCAGGTCACAAACAGGAGCGGAGATGTTCTGGCACCACGTCACTGGATGATATAAAGTCCCATAACTGCAACAGACATAAGAACAACAACACTGTAAATGTAAAGAACATTAAATAAAGATGTGCTGCATGTAACAGACAAGTAAGGGTTCCACTTTATTTCGATGGTCCACTTTAGACATTCTACTAACTATGAGTAACTTTGCAACTACATCACTCTTATTAGAGTATTAGTAGACTGTCAGCTTATGGTTAGGTGTTAGGGTTTGGTTAGTAGAATAAGTTGCCAAGTTACTAATAGTCAGTAGAATATCTGTTGGGGGACCATCAAAATAAAGTGGTAGCATATATTAAGCATACAGTCTACTAATACTCTAATGACAGTTAGATGACATGCAAGTTACTTATAGTTAGAAGAATGTCTAAAGTGGACTAAATACATTTTAATTGTACAATACAACTATTCTACACACACCCTGTATGCATGTGTCATATAATGTGTAATAATGAGTATCTGATATTGCATTATCTTTGGAACAACCCTTCATATAATAACTTAGTCAATAGACGCTAATTCCAATGCTCATACTCAATGCAATTATTTTAAGTGTGTAAAATCTCTGTTGAACTTTTGTTGAAAGAGTATTGAACGCTCCTGAAGCGATGGCCGGATGAGAGGAAGAATGAGAGGATAAGAGGTTGGACTGATGTGTGCCGGCGAGCAGCTCTGCATTACAGTCGTGGGATTATCTGGAGCTTCTGAAGCTTTCGTCTCTCATCCCGTCAGCCTCACTGACCCTCCCAGCATGCACTGCTGCTCCCTCCGTTCCCATCAGATTTATTTTTCCCCATCAGATTCTCTGCCAAGCGTAACTGTGACTGGTGCAAAAGATTGGGTGCCAAGGCCAGAGAGGGCCTGCAACGTTTCGCAGACGCAGCTTCTTCCTGCTCCGTTTCTAATTGCAGTTCACAGACTGGAGAAGAGATTCACAGCCGGGAGACCACAGCGTGTCCTTCACCAAAGCAATGTCATGATCTCGACACTTTGTGCTGTTATTCACAGAAAACAGAAGGACTGATGGGAAGGAATTATTAAACCCATGGCCAACTAAACCTTTATTTCAGTTATATACACACTGCCAGCCAAAAAGAAAAGAAATCGCTGTTTGGATTTAAACAAGCAAATGCTTAAGAGTCTATGATTGGATCATTATTGCATTGATTATTATTTTTCTAGCATGTTATATGTTTGGCAACAGTTCTTCTAACCCTAATTAATGAAGTGTGTAGCTTTTCATTTCTTAAACAACCTTGTAGGAAGACACATCATGTCCATATTCCAGGATGACAATGTTAAGATCCGGCGAATGATTGTGAGGAGCATGAAGAAGAATTTTCACACATGAATCCAGAGCTTAAATTCATTGAAAGTCTTTGGGATGTGCTTGTATGTGCTTGGACTCTTGCATTGTCAATACACGATCTTGAGCAAAAAATTGATGCACCTCTTGATGGAAATAACATCACAACATTAATATCCATCAAAAGGGGGGGCAATTTTGGTCAAGATCTTATACTATAATCATTAATATAATAATACATTTATACATACCGATACAAACATGCCTAGGAAGGTATAAATGCTAGGGATGTGCCCAAAGCCTAAATCTGAACTGGCATAGAAAATGAAAAATGCATTCTACGGAGGCCCTAAAGAGACATGGTTAGGCTTGCTGCGGTAGTCGGTTACATTACAGAACATCATATTTCACTTATCACATAGGAGAGATGACTGACAGGATGATGTCGGACGATTTGGAGCGCATAGATATTGAGTGTCACTGACAATATCTTATCTTATCGTGGTCAGTACCGCGCTCCATATACACAGAGTAAATGAAAGTGAAAAGCTATTTCAATACCTTGCCTATTGATAGTGGCTCCCGGATGCTCGCAAGTTATACAATATAATTACCCAACTATATACAGTAATTGTGAGATAAACGCAAAAGCATTCAAATATATTTTCTCTGTAGAATGCGTAATTTCCTTTTAAAGGCACTTCCTTAATAAATGCTGTTGTAAAATCTGTACTGTAAAAAGATCTGTACTGGACACATTTGCAAAGAAAAGACCAAAGAAAAGCAAAAGAAAAGGTCCAGCCAGGTTTGCTGTCACTCACAGGTTGTACTGAACACTGTAGAGAACCGTTTGACCTGGGATGTCAACAGCTTCCCAATGGAGAACACTGAAGAAGTTCTTGGACTTGACATACGCCTTGGTCAGATTACAGCACCAACAACCTACACACAAACAGGAGACGAGAAAAATAAAAGTGAGATGGTTTTACAGGTCTCGACTCCCAACTCTGAACATCTTCCATTTTGGTGTGATGATAGAATAAATCAGGTGACGATGTTCTAGACTTAATGTCTTTTGTCTAAAAGTAAGTGAAGGTTTTCCATTTATACCTGCTATGGTTACAACACACATCATAACAAACACCAGCACACATACACACAGCATAAGCTCCCATAATAATCATTCCACACACTAACAGGAGAGGAAACAACATCCTTTTGAGCTACATCCACAAACCTGCTCCAGTTCTTCAGGCTGTTTGAATCAATACATCGTAAATAGTATAGCATAATGCGATATAACCTTTAAACCTCAACTTTCCTTTTCTACTTTCAGCAATTGAAGGACAGAGTTTGATGAGTATCTGACAGAAAGATGATGATATAGAGTTGTGCTCAGTTCTCCATCGATCATAAGCCTTGATGAATAATCTCTTCACGTTTTGGTTTCCCTCGAGGAAAACTGAACAGCTCCAAACATACCAGCAGTGCTTATGGCTTTTGCAGAAAGTGTAAAGACAAAGCCCATGTAACTTCTAGAGACGGTGCAACACTCACAGAAATATGAATAAAAATAGGTTTTAATGGGTAGATAAAACTTGCCAAGTGGTCTGTAATTTGATTAAACTGAAATATAATACTAATGAATCTCAAGTATACAGATTTTAAATTACTTTTGTGCCTGCACAAATACTATAAACCAAAAAAAAAGAAAGAAAGAAGAAAAACCAACAACAACAACAACAACAAAAAGCATGAATGACCTTTAATAAAAAGTCTTCGAATATACTGATTTATTTATTTTTGCATTAATCTTCTTTTGCACAGACAGGAAAAATCTGAATCTGTACAAATACTATAAAATGCATTTACAAACATAATATTTATGTAATCTTAAAGTATGGCTAATTACCTGTAATTTTAATGGTAAAACTTTCAATTACATCAAATATCGGCATTTCGCTGTTTGATTAAAAAAAGGGAAAAATATGGAAGCTTGTATCCGCCACGGAATAAAAACAAGCTTCCATAGAAAATTCTGTAAAAAAATTAATAAAATACAGACCTGTACAATTAATATATTACCATTACCTATGTGGTGTAAAGTGAAAAATTTAGATATGCATCTCACCTGCAGAATATTCCTCAAATTAAGCCACCAAAATAAAAATAAGCAAAATCAAAACTTGCACTAATTGTCACACATGTGCAAGGAAAGACAGCTAAATAATTATTAAATCATTAAATAAAATAACTAATATATATATATATATATATATATAAATAAATTTATGTTTAAATAAAATAAAAACTCCAGTTTTGTGGCCAGTAAAAAATATTTATAAATATATTATTTAAATTTATTTTTTTATATAGAAATACTCAGCCCATCCATTTTCTCAATTTAGACAGCAAAGAAAGAAAAAAAGAAAAGAAAAATAGAAAAGTTATTTTTAGACTTTTTTTTTTTTTTACTCACCAGCACAACAGAGCAAAAAAATGGCAGCTCTCAGAGGCCACATATCCAGACGTGTGAGAATATCTCCAACTGAGAAACATCAAATAAAGATCCAGTGGTCAGAGACACAGTCCTCTCATTATTTCCTTGAGACGCTTCCAATAATTGTCATTTCCACAAACAAGAAAAATCCCATGGAGTCTTATGGTGGGACATTATTCGATCACTGCAAAACAATGACAGAGTCGCTTGCTTTACACGCTCTGTTCCATCTCTAACCGGTCTGAAGAAAGATCTACCCATCCTCAGGTGTAACTGTGAACTTTGGAGCGTCTTATCAGCACGTTCCTGTTTTCTGCTGTTGGCCTCCACCCATTAAGGGGCGTCTATTAGCCACATCTAGAATTTCAGGTTTTCACAGCTGAAAAACTGAAACTGGAAATGAAGCACTTCTCAGAAAGGCGTGGGAGAAAGGAAGCACACCTTCAGGCCGGGATGTGGAAGTTTCAGTTGGCACGTGCTGCTCTATATTACCTGTAATGACACAAAACACAATCATTTTACAGCATGACATCATGTGTAGAATGTGTGACTGACAAACAAAAGTTTAACCTTAACTACAAAAAGGTGCACATGCTGCAATAAGGCTCTGATCATCTTGACCTTTGTGCTTTATAAGTACTTGTCTAGGATTAGATGTATTTGCACGCCAATCAGTGGGATATTATATATATATATATATAAATATATATGTGTGTATGTATGTATGTATATATATATATATATATAAAATGTATGTATGTATGCATGTATAATATATATATATATATATATATGTGTGTGTGTGTGTGTGTGTATGTATGTATGTATGTATGCATGTATGTATAATATTATATATTATGTATGTATGTATGCATGTACAGGTCCTTCTCAAAAAATTAGCATATTGTGATAAAGTTCATTATTTTCCATAATGTAATGATAAAAATTAAACTTTCATATATTTTAGATTCATTGCACACCAACTGAAATATTTCAGGTCTTTTATTGTTTTAATACTGATGATTTTGGCATACAGCTCATGAAAACCCAAAATTCCTGTCTCAAAAAATTAGCATATCATGAAAAGGGTCTCTAAACGAGCTATTAACCTAATCATCTGAATCAACTAATTAACTCTAAACACCTGCAAAAGATTCCTGAGGCTTTTAAAAACTCCCAGCCTGTTTCATTACTCAAAACCGCAATCATGGGTAAGACTGCCGACCTGACTGCTGTCCAGAAGGCCATCATTGACACCCTCAAGCAAGAGGGTAAGACAGAAAGAAATTTCTGAACAAATAGGCTGTTCCCAGAGTGCTGTATCAAGGCACCTCAGTGGGAAGTCTGTGGGAAGGAAAAAGTGTGGCAAAAAACGCTGCACAACGAGAAGAGGTGACCGGACCCTGAGGGAGATTGTGGAGAAGGACCGATTCCAGACCTTGGGGGACCTGCGGAAGCAGTGGACTGAGTCTGGAGTAGAAACATCCAGAGCCACCGTGCACAGGCGTGTGCAGGAAATGGGCTACAGGTGCCGCATTCCCCAGGTCAAGCCACTTTTGAACCAGAAACAGCGGCAGAAGCGCCTGACCTGGGCTACAGAGAAGCAGCACTGGACTGTTGCTCAGTTTTGCATGTCATTCGGAAATCAAGGTGCCAGAGTCTGGAGGAAGACTGGGGAGAAGGAAATGCCAAAATGCCTGAAGTCCAGTGTCAAGTACCCACAGTCAGTGATGGTCTGGGGTGCCATGTCAGCTGCTGGTGTTGGTGCACTGTGTTTTATCAAGGGCAGGGTCAATGCAGCTAGCTATCAGGAGATTTCGGAGCACTTCATGCTTCCAACTGCTGAAAAGCTTTATGGAGATGAAGATTTCATTTTTCAGCACGACCTGGCACCTGCTCACAGTGCCAAAACCACTGGTAAATGGTTTACTGACCATGGTATTACTGTGCTCAATTGGCCTGCCAACTCTCCTGACCTAAACCCGATAGAGAATCTGTGGGATATTGTGAAGAGAAAGTTGAGAGACGCAAGACCCAACACTCTGGATGAGCTTAAGGCCGCTATCGAAGCATCCTGGGCCTCCATAACACCTCAGCAGTGCCACAGGCTGATTGCCTCCATGCCACGCCGCATTGAAGCAGTCATTTCTGCAAAAGGATTCCCGACCAAGTATTGACTATTGAGTGCATAACTGAACATAATTATTTGAAGGTTGACTTTTTTTTTGTATTAAAAACACTTATTTTATTGGTCGGATGAAATATGCTAATTTTTTGAGACAGGAATTTTGGGTTTTCATGAACTGTATGCCAAAATCATCAGTATTAAAACAATAAAAGACCTGAAATATTTTAGTTGGTGTGCAATGAATCTAAAATATATGAAAGTTTAATTTTTATCATTACATTATGGAAAATAATGAACTTTATCACAATATGCTAATTGTTTGAGAAGGACCTGTATATATATATATATATATATATATATATACGTATATATATATATATATATATATGTATATACACGCACGCGGAAAACACACACACACACACACACACACACACACACACACACACACACACGCACACACACACACACACACACGTGTATATATATATATAGCCTATATATATATATATAATACAACGAGTGTGGACTAAAACATTTCCTAATGCAAAGGAAACTGAGCTTGAAGAGCCAGAAACATTATTGCTCTCACTTATTTGTGCAGAATGTTTCAGGCTTTACACCATCTCTGCTCTTTGAAAGACGTGTCATCCAGCATGTCTGGCAAAACAACAACGTCCATCCTACTCTTATTTGCTGTTTGAGTCGAGTTCTGTCACAGAGACAGATGTGATTCCTCACAACTCCTATTTCACAGAGATCTGTCAGACAGAAGGACATTTTCGGCAAGCTATTCCATAAAATCACAGGCACCTTTAATCTCAAACAGATAGTGAGGATAACGGCGAAAATCCAGACAGTGAGTGTATAATAATCTGACACTCTCAGTGATGAGACAGAACTCGTGAAACATACAGAACAGGTAATATGATGCACCGCAGGAACAAACCCAGTTCCACTTTTCAGGATACTGTATCTTAAACACAATTTTGTAAAATTCAAATAAGCTTTTTCATGCTTGAAAAACAAACAATTATTGGACATGCACCTGTGGAACAGTCCTTTAGACACTAACAGTTTACAGGCGGTAGACGATTAAAGTCACAGCTCCAAAAACTTGGAGACCTTTCTACTAGTACTAACTCTGACAAAAACCCAGAAAGATGCCCAGAAACCCGGATCATCATGAGAACATGCCATAGTCCTGCTGCAGGAGACATGAGGACTGCAGATGTGAACAGAGCAATACACTGCAATGTCTGTAATGTAAGACACCTGAGACACAGTCCTTGGAGTGCGTACTTGTGTCAAGTTATGAGGTGTGCTTATATTGCACCATTAATCACAATAAAAGGAGACAAATATAAAACTATTGCGTGTTTGTAATTGCATATTTAATTCAAGTGCATTGGACACTTACTGTATATGTGATGTATTATTGCACAGCAATATATATATATATATGTTAAACTTTATCCGACCGCATGCATACAGTACGTATACTCATGTAGGGCGTTATATACAGTACCAAACATCCACTGATTGGCTCATTTCTGTTTTGACTTCAGACTGTTCTGAAGGTGCGTTTGAGTTTCATCTTCTGGCTGTGTGGACCGTCTTCCCCCTCCCGTCACTGAGACGATTCAAAGCGAGTGTGTCCTGACTCAGATCTCAGCAGCTTTGAAGCCAGTCATCGGTGGAGACGACAGATCTGAGCTCCTCTGCCTCAGGAAAGCCATCGCTGACTCTCCTCCAACGCACTGCTACTGTCACAGCCAAACACACCTCACGCCTCTCCAACACCACGAATTATTGTGTACCTTGATCTCGGCGGAGACGTTGATGTCAAGAATAAATGAGGCAGATCTTCTTCAGGGTTACATCTCATCATGACTGAGGCGCTGTGTCATATGGAAATTATGTTTTGCAAAACTGCAAAGCATCACGTCTAAAGGTTAAGTGTGTAATTCTGCACCACTAGCAGCACCAGAATGACAATCTGTAATGGTGTGTTCACACCGAACGCGAATTTAATTATTTGCGCGAGTGGATTACAAAGTCAATGCAAAGACGCGAATAGACGCATCATTCGCGCCGGGCGTTGCGAATGACGCGAATTGGGCGACGCGTTTGCCGCAAATGTCTTCCGCGCAAGTTGAAAAATTTGAACTGAGCGAATGTTCAATCGTCTAACTAGACGCGATAGACGCGTATTTGACGCTCTATTCGGGTTCGGTGTGAACACACCATACGTTTGAGTGTCCCGACTAGAAGTAGAATAACTTACTTTTGCTAGTTTAACGACGGGGAATAAACTGGTCGGTGCGCCAGGCGCGTGGTCTAAAAGGGTTTTCTCTATTCTCTTAATGAGTAATGAGTGTGTTTTGGGCGTAACGTGCAATAAACCAATCAGAGTCTCATCTCCCATTCCCTTTAAATGCCAGTTGCACTCGCGCCAAGGCGGATTCGCTCTTTACATGACGGAATTTGATAGTGGAAAGACAACGCGTCTCCAGAGGCAAACAGATCTGTTCGTGTGCGATGTTAAAGGAGGAAGCAGACCATCTACACTACAGGACAAGCCGGATTCCACCATATCTTTATCTATACAAGGCCTACACAATAATAATATTTTACATTGTAATCCTTTTATATATTTTTTTATATTTGGCATGTTTTTGTGCTGCTGTGTGTGTAATAAGCAGAGTGTACACACGCCGTGGACCCGCCTTTAGACGCACATTACTAACGCGCTCTTTAAATAACAAAACAAATATTGCGCCGTTGACTTTAGACCAGGTTTTTGTTGGTCAATGGCACAGTTTATTTCAGTTGCCTCAAAACAGCAATGCGCCAACAATGCGCCTGAACACACTTCGTTTTCAGACCAGCAAATGCATTTGTATTTAAACAATGTGGCGCAGGACGTGAAAATGATAACTGCGTCAGGCTGAAACTAGCTAAAAACACTTGCATCGCAAATGGCGCTGCATTGTGCCGGGTGTATGATCGGGCCCAAAATGTTGTTATGCGACAAGATTCCGGCAACAGAACAAGCCAAAATCAATCAAAGATCACAGCCAATCAGAAGAGCATGTGGGCGGAGTCTCTCTTCAAGCGCACTGCACTCGCAATGAAATTGATAAGTATACATCATAAATATTACACCATTTTAACATTATTAAAAATGCATACTGAGTGAGTCTGAAACAGTCTATGACATTAAATATACTTGTTTGTTCACATTGAGTGCTGCAGTGATGATGTATTTTTGTGGGACAAAAATGTTACCAAAATCCCATAAAAAAAATTGACTTTGGGACAATGGAACCAAAAGTATGTAATTCCTGCAGAACTGAGTCTTAAACATTCTTCCATTGTCGCTTTCAGTATGGTTATAAAGG